GAACCACCACCACCACCTCCTTTATTACTGAGCCCAATTAAATCCCTATCTCAGATGCAAAGTAGATGGGAAAAACAATGTAGAAATGAGCACTGGAGACACAGACATGTGCTTCACAAATCTCACAGTTTATTTTTCTCTCTGTGCAAATCAGTGCTACTTAAGCATTACTCACATTTCACAGTGCAGGGGTCAGAAGTGATTACAACACTGCTTAAGCTGCAGTTCAGTGGGATTGTTCCAAGTCCAGGATCACAGACAATCTCCACGTGCTGATGATCTGGAATAAAAAAGAACTGCACAGCCAGCATTTCCAGCAGTTCTTACTTGTAATACAAGCTACCTCCATGGCATCTCCAAGGGAAGGCTACTTTCCTCCCCAGGCATCATTCACGGCTGCATGCAGACTCCAAACATTTACAGCCAGTGGCACAGAAAAAGTTTATGGCGCAGTTTCCAAGTCAGAGCTAGCAGAGACAGATGAGGAAAGAGCAAACAATAAGCTCTTCCCATAGTCACTTAATCTCCCATAGGACAAAACAGAACACAGTTTAGCAGTAGAAGGGAAAGCTGGTCCCTAGAGCGAGAGGGTAGTGTCCCAGCCTGGCCAGCAGTGCCCACTGGCTGCTCCATTAGTGGTCACCACTGGGACAGAGGGAACAGGGCATGAAGCCAGGCAGCCCCAGCACTTGGAAAAATTATTGAAATCCCTGTATATGGCCAACAGGAGAGACCCTTGGGAATACTGTGCAAAAGTAGCTTGTACCAGTTATCAGGAAGTTGTCTGAGGAGACAATCACATGTGACATGGAAATTTCATTGTGCAATATTAAAAAAAGGAAACGTGTCACTTAAAGCACCCTTCCAGAGCTCATGATCAGGCCACACTGGCTGGACAGTGGCCCTGTCACTGTTTCAAGTGCAGAAGAGATGAAACCAAAAAACTGGTTTGGGAAAGCAAAAGCAGCTCCCTCACCAGCAAGAGGGAGCCTAGGACAGGGCAGAGATGTGGGCGAAGCAGGGGGGAAGGCTGGACAGTCTCTGTACCACAGCTGAGTAGTTCAGGCACCGGTACCTAAGGTAGCAGTCAGAGGAGCCAAATTTTTTTGCTACATGAGATTCAAGCCTGTCCTACAAAGCTCATCAGTAATGGGTGGAGAGAGGCTGCAAGTCCCAGCATCCACATGGACTGACTGAGGGATGGCTCAGACCTCACTCGTTATTAGAAGGGCTTTCCCCTGCCCAGCCTGTCTGTGGTCACTGGGTCTGGCAGCTCCTGGCCACAGTGCTGGGAGGGAAGAACCCTTCTTTGTTGGGATCTTACCCCACCAAGCTAGGTAATGAGGCTGTTTAGAGGCAGTGTTGCTGTTTCCCTGGAAAGAGCAGACAGTCACATTGCAGCAGAGCTTCCTAACAGTATCACTAGAACAACGGAAGGCTGTGACTGACCCATTTTCAATCAAATAGAAAACTGCTTTTGTTTCCCATTTTAGTTTCTCCCTTCGAGACATCTCATAGCAACAGCTTTGCTTTGCTATTAGCAGCCTGTCCTTGTTAGGAAAGCAAGAGCCCATTAATGAGCCAAATTTATCACTGGGGGAACTCTGCTGACCTAATTGCACTAGCCACATATTTGACCTATTGCATTAGCCTTCCTCTGCCTCCTCCACAGTGAAAAGGAAAACACCTTTCTTTTTTTCAGGGGATACAAAGAGCAAGACTTAGGAAAAAAAAAACCGCAAAGCGCCGTGCTCTTCTCAGCATCCCACCACACAAGACTTGAAGCCATCGAGTGAAAAGCACAGGTGCCTACAGGGGATATGCATCAGCAATGGGTGCGGACAGCCCTGACTAAGTCAGACGTATGAGCACTGGAAGGGTGCCTGAAGGATGGCCACTTACAGGGTGGCTCCAGGGATGTAAAGCCAGTCGGCAATGGCAGTGGGCAGGTGAGTCATGACTTGCAGCCTCACCCACCAGTAGGTCTCCATGGGATTGTAACGGTTGTCCGGGTGCGTGGCAGTGAGCGCATGGGTGATGTCATTCAAGACCAGAGACATGTCCTTCAGGCCACTGTTAATGAAGGACTTCATCAGGGCCACGTGGCAAGTGAAATACTCCCTCCCATAGTCCTCCCGCACAGTGTCGCTGGCTCCGCTCCACAGTGCCTCGGCCTGCTTGTTGATGCCGTCCGCTGTCAGGATGCCTGTGGCTGCCACGAAGTTACTGGGCTCAATGAGGATGACTCGGACACCCCACCGGTACATCTCCTGCCGGAGGCAGTCAGAGAATGCTGCCACGCCAAACTTGGAAATGCAATAGCAGGAGCGAGATGGACTCACCATCCGTCCCAACATGCTGGTGATATTCACCACACGGCCTAGAGAGAAAAGAGCAGGGAGAGAGAATGGGCTGCAGAACAAGCAGCCAGAACATCCCAGTAAAAAGGTGCTTTGTTGGATGATGCTGATTTGTAAAGTCTGAATCTTGAAGAGGTGTTCAAATCCCTGTCAAGGAGCCCCTCCTGACTCAAGCAAGGCTCGCCCCTGCTCTGACCTCCTCCATGGATGGTACACATGCCTGCCTCTGTATTAAAAAGGATTTACAAAGCAAAGACATTTCCCTCCTAATTTCCAAGCATGGCTGTACCCAGATCTTTTGAGGCTACTAGCTCTCACATCAGTGTGCCCCACTACTGTGTCTTCTAGAGAAGGGTTCAAGCTCTCAGCTAGCAGGATTATGAACTGAAAAGCGCACAACACAGTGTGATGCCATACAAGTGTTCTGCTTCTTTCTGTAATCATGACAGCTCATTTGCAGCCACTCTGCCTAACACAGCTACATGCTTCTAGACCTGAGCTGGATGGCAGAGAACCAGCAGAGGTTTCTTCAAACTGCAGCATGAGCAGCACAGCCTGCTCACCCAGCTGGCTGGCCAGGAGCACCTAGGGTGCTACCAGCCTGGGACAAACAGAGAGGACACTTAACGTGCTGCTGTCTACGAGGCAAAGAGCAATTATCTTAACTCCCACCAGCAGCCCATGCCAGCCTGATTGCAGAGCTCTAGCAGCTTGTGTTAGACCATGCACTGCCTAGGGGCAGTGACAGCAGTGGTCACTCCTCTGTGGGTGGCTCTGTCCTTCCCCAAGACTTGTACAGTTATGGTTTCAGATGGACTTACAAACAGGCCCTTGAAATCTCATCAGCTATTTTTACAGAGAGGATTTTCACAGCCATGGAGCATGACACCCTTCTGCAGCTTGAAATTTTAGCCGAGAAACAAGCGTGTGGCTCTGCTCTCTCATTCCAGACTTAAATGCAGCTTGGAGGGACTGTGAGAACCACCTTCTGACCTGATGGGTAAACTACCTTCTGTAGTAAGATGGGGCTGTTTAGTGGGTATGTACTTACTTTCTGGAAATGGTATCTGAGCAATCTTCTCAATATAACCCCTTTCTGCCCTCACAGAACACACAGCTGTGCCAGCATTCTCCCACACATGCTAAATAAAGAAGCTTTTCAGAGTTTTGCCCATACATATCTTTTTTCTTTTCTTTAATAAAACAAAGACTTTGGATAATACTCTGGTCTTGTAAGATATCTGAAATGGCTGTTACTGACCCTCATTTGCTCCACCACTACCACTCTGCAATCAACTATGAATTGAATAACATGAAGGGGGAAGATTCAGTTATCCAAATATAAGCACTTGGCAGACTTTGGAGGCCAGAAGTATCTTGTCTGGCCTCCAGTCACTTTTTCTAAAGGTGGCCTGGGGTCCTGTGTCATATCTGCCAGCACTGCATGAAGGCCTCTGATATCTTGGAATATTTAAAATAGCACTTGCTGTGTAGGTACCTGGACTGCCCCCAGAGTGGCCCATGCCACTGCATGCTTACAAAGCACTTTGAACCCTGCTGTCTAGTTTGTCTGCATGCCTCAGACACCCTCCTTGGACTGCACAGGCATTCCTCGAAGCAGAGTCTGAGTCATGATTTTTAGCTACATCTCTTTGCTGTGCTGCAAAAGCCCTCTCTGAGTCTTGCCACACTGCCCAGCACATACCTTTAGCTCTGCGAATGAGGGGCAGGAAAGCCTTTGTCACCCTCACAGTGCCCCACAGGTTGATCTCTGCCACCTTCTTGTAGTCGTCTAAACTTGCAAATTCTACCTCTCCGAAGGTCGAGACGCCAGCATTGTTCACCAGGCCCCACAGACCTGCAGACAAACACATGGTGAAAGAGTGGAATGAGGAAGAGTGTCACAGAGAAGCAACTTTCCTTGTTGTTCAAAGTAACCCAACCCCCTGACAAAGAACTGGGCACTTTTGTAGAAAAAAGTTGTAGAGAAAAACCAGCAAGGAGATAAAATACACCCTTGGTATACCAGAAGCAAAGCCAGCAGGGCTTGTTTGGAGTGCCAGGGAGAGTGATGGGGTCATGCAAGCATTGTCTCTCTGCATGTCTCCTCTAAGGTCAAATGCTGTCCTAGGGCTTTGGTCGGCTGGATCTGGCTGGCCCTCTCTTATGCTTGCTGTTGGTCCCAGATTTGTCTTCACTCAGTGACTTTATCATGGCTTTTGCAGTTTGGAGAGGGCTGGACTTTCCCTCAATTTTTTTTTTTTTAAAAAAAAAAAAAAAAAAGGAAGGAAGGAAAAAAAATATCTCTGATTTCTAAATCCCCTTCACAACTCTGACTCACTGTTTCAGAGAATGCACGGTACTGATCTGCAGGTTTCAGGCCCAGTTAACAGCTGCTGTATCTTAGTTCAGGCATTTGGTTTACCTCATTCCTAACTATAGGAGAAAGATGGAAAACTCACAACCAACCCTTAAAGCTACTAGAATTTAAAAATTAGTATCTTTTGTGCATGCAGTCCTGTCAAAACTAAATTGACTGCGCTTACCAAGAGCTTCTGCACTGAGCCCCTTACATGTCCAGGACTTAGCAGGTCACTGAGGACTTGACCCTTCAAGCGGTTACTGCAGGAGTCCCAGTGGCAAACATTTGTAGGACTGAGTCCATACTTTGTGAATTTGATGAAGCACAGTACTGTGCAGCCATAAACTGCAGAAGGAACAAACAGAATAGCTGAAACAAAGTAATAGTTACTCCTCCTTAGATGTCCTGCCATACACCATGGTTATTTTTCACTGTGTAAGTACCCAGCTGGAGTTGGGGCCCCTTTCCTTCCTCCGACCTTCATCTTGCCACCAAGAACACACATGGGGCTAAGAAGGAGTCTTCATGTCCAGGGAGCTCTGACATTGCTATCAAAAGCAGCCATGTCACGCCACCCTGTTGATAAAACTTATCAAGCGCGTTCTCAAATTTTTTTGGGCTGTTTGCCCTGCCTCTGCTCCATAGCTTCCCTGCCCTGATGTGTGAAAGTCTTAATAACTTCCGGCCTATATTTATTCATGCTCAGATAGTAACCATGTATTGCACTGAACAAAGCCCTCTAAGCAAACTGCAATATTCCATCATTGCCCAATAAATACCAATGGAATTTATCCTCCCGGTGCATTTAAAACCACCAACATGCCCTTGCTAGACTGGGTCTCTACTCTCACAGCAGCCCTAGTAACCCTGCCCTGTTTCCAGCTAAGTCCATTTTCCCTGAAGGCTGCTGACCAGCTGTGCAGCACAGACCAGAGAAGGTCATGTCCTGCTCAGTGATAATAGTGCATTAACCATTCCCTCATGGCCTGTCCCAGAACAGATTTGCCCATTATAGCTGCCACCATTCCCTCATCTCCCACCTCTCACATGGTGATCCCAGCACCCCTTCTGCCCTGCACACCTGTCTCTGACGGGCAGCGGTGAATATTGTTCCAGTTCACTGGCCTACAGCTCTATCTTCTTCCAGAACAACCCTTTCCCAATCCCCACCAGGCTGCAACAGCCCCAGGGGCTGCTGGGGATAACAGCTAAGTCATGGCCTGCAGCAAAAGCCAAGAAAACATCTTGCTCACCTATCCTTACTTTCATTTTTATTAATTCAAGTTTCTGAATGCTGCAATCAGGTAGTCCTACTCCTGCTCTGCCCAAGATTCCCTGCCTATAGCAGCTGCACTTACTGAAGCTGCCAGCTTTAATGGGTCAAGGTAAGTCTGAAATTCACACTCATCTGGCAGCCAGCACAGCATCTCAGGCTCTAATCGCTAGCAGGAGGACCATGGAAACAGGGCATCCGATGGTATGATTTCACCAGTAACAAGAAGCTACGCAGAACAAATTTGGCAGGGATTTACCAAAGACCACAAACGACTTCAACTGCCAGTCCCAAACTAACTTCTGCAGAGTATTCCCGATTCTGAATTTCTGTACAATTTCACATTTCTTGACTTAGGAGGTTAGATTCAGGGACGTTCATGAAAACATTATTTACAATAGTTCATTCTTGGAATTGCATTACTCACTGATCAAGTCACGTTACGTACAGAACAAAGTGCTGATAGCTACCCAGTCACAGGGCTGCTTGCTGGACAGCAGTGTGTTTACTGAGCAGAGCCTTATCACTATTATTTCTTTAGTGTCAACAATACAGTGGGAACTGCGTAAGATTGAAAACAAACAGGGGCACTCCTATCGAAATGAGTTTAGCCTTATGTACACAGCACAGGGAGAAGAGGTAGAAGTGTACAGCCCAAGAACTGTTCTGCACTAGCTCCTCTGGGGCCACACTCAGCGTGCAACAAGCACCTCTGTGCAAAGCACCCCAGTCTCAATAGTCTCTATGTTCCAGCACTTATTTATGGAGCACTATTTATTGGCAAGCCCCAAACCACAGCCACACTCGTGGGCCTAAAAAGAGGTCTTTCTGCTTTGCACACTGTGCTGGAGCAAACAGCCATGGGCTAAGGCTCTCAAGAGCAGGAGGAACCGGTCCAACTTGCTGATCGAGGGTGCAAGACTTCTCTGTCCCTGCTACACACACAGTTTTGCAAACACTGCTGCATTTACAGAAGCGACAGAACTACTCCCTTACAAGCTTTCACTCAGTGGGAAATGGCTCTGTGCCACCACTGCTGTTGCTGGGCTCTTCAGGAAAAGCTTGAGAAGCTGTGAAATGTGTGACAAGGGCTGGGTGAGTGAGTAGGAAGAAAAAATCATGCAGAGAGAACATGTGTGGGATCAGAGCTTGTACGTAACTCGGTTACATTTCATATGCTTGTTTTCAGAGGAAGGGTGTGCTCACGTAATTTGCATGAAAATTAGAGCTATTATTTACTAGCTTTATACTTGCTGTGAACAAAGACAGGCCCAGGGCAGTCTCATCCAAGCAACCACCCTCCAGCCACATGGCCCTTAAATCCTGGAGCCACAGACGTGAAGCTTGAGTCCACCCTCAGCCTGGGTCTACAGCTGCTGTCCAGCTTGCTCCTTGCAGACAGTCTGCAGAGAAACCTGTGCAGGGCAAGAAGCCTCACAACCTCACCACGCTGTAAGAGGCTAGGTGGTATCACACCAGGCTCGGACTGCAAGCTCACATCCACTGCCAAACCACTTCCAAGAAGGAAAAAAGCATGCAGAAGGGACTCCTATCTTCTTTTGCGTGCTCCTAGGGCCCATGAGTTGGACTCATGCTTGAAGCGGCATGTGGATTAAGGTGGTCTATGCCAAGCTGATCCTGGATTCTGCCTCACATCACCTCTGGGATGTTGCATGGCAAACTGAAAGCACGGATTGACCTGGCTGAAGAATAATCCAGGTTTCGGGGCAGGTCAGTTTTGTGCTCCAGCACTGCATTCAATTACACAAACAGGTTGTACCAGCACAGCAGAGGGGACTGCAGTAAACAGCCAGGGCCCCGTCACCTCTTCACTAGCAGGGTCACTACAGAAAGGTCTGCATGAGCCAGGCCGCAGCAGGAACACCATGAGGGGAACCAGGCTCTGTCCACCTTATGCCTTTCACAAACACTTTAAAGACACAGGCTCTTGTGGGCTTGCTGCCACTCATAAGGTATGTTAGAGCCTAATCCTTCAGCCAATCTTGGTCTCTTTCCATGTGGCCGGCACATCAACAGCAAGACAATTCTCCTCACTGACCCGGGTACAGCACTGCCTGACTGCTAGTCACAGGCCTCCAGGCTCGTTAACCCTCTCTTGGTGGTGCAGAGAGGGAACGACCTGGCCAGCGCATGGCCTGCTCTGTAGGGAGGATTCTGCGAGCACAGCGAAGAGCCAGCTGTGATGGAAAAACAAAGATTCCCACATACCTTTCTCTGGCTTCTTCAGGGTCCTCTTCACGAAATCCACAGCCTGAGCCACCTCCTGGTCACTGCACACATCCATCTGTAGCACCTTCATGCGATCTGACTTCATGTTCTTCAGCTCCCTGGCTCCTTCTCCATTCTCATCCTGCTCAGCAGAAAAGAAAGATGTCTCGCCAAGATGGACAAGGAACAGTAATGCAGCTTGGGGCCAGGCATGGAGAGGAAATAGAAGCTATTGAAATTATTGAAATAAAACTGGTGCACACAAACAGGCATGCGAGCCGCATGAATCCTATTCCCTCCAGCACAGCCCCTATAATTGCACCAGTGATCCACTGCTCTAAAAGAGCTGAAAAGTCCCTGCTGTTTGCTCCTCACATGGAGGGTTTCACATCAGTAACACTGTCAAATACTGCGCCAGCCTGCGATAACCATGGGTGACTCTCCGCTGCCTGTGTCCATGCTCTACAGGTAACATAGCAAACACTTGTACATAAATCAGTCAGATTTTCTAGGCTTACAAGCAAAAGCCTAATTAGGCACCATACTCATCTCATTCCAAAATACTGCCTGGCTTCTAATGAAATAGTATTGTCAAACCACTTTGGAAACAAGACAGCAGGGACACCTTTGGCATGCCTTACGGCAAATAGTCTGATGCTGCAGGATACAGCAGGAAACATTTACAGCCAAATCTATATAATAATAATATTTTGTCTTACTACACAGCAGAATGGGATGCACAGGAATACATGCACAGTGGAGATCTGCCACACAATGACAAGATTATAGACATGAGCCATAAAAGGAGGAGATTCTGGCTGAAGAAGCAAGAACAAGTCTCTTTCGTTTTTTTTTTTTTCCTCACCACTATAAGAACATGATGGCTCTGCTTTCCTTTCTATCCTTTTCCTTTTTTTTCCCCCCTCTGTTGCTATCATTAGAGATTCTGTTACTATTGTGTTGGGTTTTTTTGCTTAGTCAAACCTAAACACAATTCCAATTCCAAATTTTACCTGGTTCCTTCCAGAGCAGATTGCTGCCTAGGCCTTACAGCCTTGTTTGGGTGGTATATCGCAAGCACAGGTGAAAAGAGCATGGATCAGCCATGCAGTTCCATAGCAGGCTCGAGATTTAATTCACCAAACTACTCTCTGAATCACGGGCTCTGCCTCGTTAGGGAGGAAGAAGTTATGAATTGGTGAGTCACCACGCCTGGCTGCCACTCTTCCTTTAGCACTTGATACCAACTCCCACAGCACAAGGGCAAACAAGGCAAGCAACCCTCCCACAGTCACCTGCTCAGCTGTCTCTGCAGCCAGGCTGATATAAAAAAAACCACGTAACCGCCTAATTTTTCTATATGTATCTCAGGCTATTTAATAAATATAGTATACAACATCTCACCTCCACCTTCAGTCCAGTGAACAATGATGTGTAATGAAGGAGAAGAGCTAAAATGTCCACCACAGCCTTGAGCAAAACAGGGTAGCTCTCTTAAAAATCAATATATAGTTACACCGGAGCTGTGACAGAAGTAGGGATGAGTTTCTGGCCCCATGGCTGCGTATCATTTCAGAGCTGACTTATTTCCAGGTATCACAAAAACAGCAAAGAAAAACTTGAAGCTTTTATAATGCACATCGAACACGGTGACATGCTGTGTCTAGCCCTCTTATCTAGCCACAAAAAGAATCTCAGAAAGTGGCATTACAAGTAGTTAATAACGTAGTCACCAAAATATTATATTCCCTTTGAAATGGGTGAGAGTTGTGTAATGCCTTACTATATTTCTAGAAGATGCTCTTGCATCCGAGTTATACAAAGCAACTTTCAGCTACTTCACAGTGAATAAAGTGGAGCCAATTCAGCTTGTAAAGCAAGAGCTTTACTGTATCTATATAGAAACAAAACCTTAACTGTATCTGTACTCAAGTACCAGTTGGCATTTCAGAGCACTGAAAGCACCTTTCATAGAATCATAGAATGGTTTGGGTTGGAAGGGACCTTTAAAGGTCATCTAGTCCATCCCCCTGCAGTGAGCTGGGACATCTTCGACTGGATCAGGTTGCTCAGAGCCTCATCCAACCTGACCTTGAATATTTCCAAGGACAAGGCATCTACCACCTATCTGGGCTACCTGTTCCAGTGTTTCACCACCCTCATTGTAAAAAAAAAAAAAAAAAAAAAAAAAAAAAAAAAAAAGGTCTTCCTTAAATCTCGTCTGAATCTACCCTCTTTTAGTTTAAAATCATTACCCCTTGTCCGATCACATCAAGCCCTGCTAAAAAGTCTGTCCCTGACTTTCTCATAGGCCCCCTGTAAGTACAGAAAGGCTGCAATAAGGTCTCCCTGCAGCCTTCTCTTCTCCAGGCTGAACAAGCCCAGCTCTCTCAGCCTGTCCTCACAGGAGAGGTGCTCCAGCCCTCGGATCATTTTTGTGGCCTACTCTGGACCCGCTCCAACATGCATGTTTCCCTGCATGTTTTTTAATCTTTCATAATCCTTATAAACCAAACAAGAAATACTTCCACGGGTTTTTGAGAAACAAAGTCACAGGCCAGCAACTTCAATATCCAGTATAAATAGCTTGTATTAATCATACTGAAATTAATTTTCCCCCATCACCAATGCAACTCAGTCTGCAAAGTTATGTTCCCAGCTACAATTTACTCATTGTTGACAAAACATATTGATTTTGGAAGACTGACTTCAAAATGCAGTATCAATTGGAACCACTTTTCGTAGTTGTAGACACCACCTCAGCTACTATTTAACTGTAAAATTGCTTAACTCTTATGTCCAGAAAACCTCTTCACAAATGAAGCAGCCATGTATTTTTATGGGACGAAGTGAACATCATCCTATGTTCTATGGTCTTCAGGGGCTGTAACCACATTCCCTGTTTCAATACCCACATGGTACTTCCTCCTTGCTTTTTAAATGGTGGATTTTCTGACTGGGAAAATAGCTGGAGCAGTTCCTGTGGCAGCAGCCAGGCTGTCCTCCCTGGGATGGCCTTCGTGGCCTTGGGACTCACCAGCAGGAGCCACACAGCAGTGCGAGTCAAGTGGGGTCCTGGCAGCAATGGCCCAACTGCTCCTGCAAAACCTCTCTCCCCCTCCCTTTGCCGTCATTTTTTTTTGGTCTGATTTTCATCCTCTCAGAGAATCTCCCAGCTTCCTCTTCCCAGTTCCATCAGTGTTGAAAGCTGCCCTGCTCCAGCCCAGCTTGCTGCCCAAGTACTCTCCAGAGAGGCTTTCAGTGGGACTTTGCCATTTCCTCCCAGCTATCTCATTTCCCCCGGTTATCCTGCCCCCGCAGCCCAGCACGGCTCTGCCCACCCCACCCCACCCTCTGCCTCGCAGGGCCGGGCCCCCCCCCAGCCACTCAAGCCCTCTCCACCCAGCAGAGCAGCCTTGCTCCCGCTGTCGGCGGCCTCCCCTTCCCCTCACTCACCCCTCTCCCCTGCTCTGCTTTGGAGGATCCCAATGCGGCTGGTGCTGAGGGACAGGCAGATCACACCATGGCCTGCTTAGCTGAGAGCCCTCCTGTAACCCATGGAGGCACGGCCTTTTCTCAGGGAAGCTCGTGGGATTCGGGATTAGGTCCTGGCAAGCACTTGGGCACCTGCAGCGAGGTGTCAGTGGGAATCAGGAAGCCCCAAACACGATGCTGAACACCCACAGATGCAGCTGGCTCACTCCGTCTGCGCCAGTTCCCCCCCCGCCACTGCC